TGTCTGTTAGCTTGTTACTAGATCAGGTGAACACCGCAGACGAGCAGCTAGAAGCACGTTTGTGCACCATGCTCCAGTCAGTCCGTGGTACCAAACAGTTCTGGTTCCTCAGACACAGTGAGCTCAAGTGCATGATAAGAGAGTGGGGCTCGCCTAACCTTTTTCCTCACCTTTAGCTGTGCTGAGTATGAGTCCCCTGATATCACTGAGTTTCTTAGGAAAGTGAACAATGTTCCTCCCAGTTACAACATTGGGAAGCTGTGTGTTGAGGACCCAATCTCAGTTTCCAGGAAATTTCCCTCAAATTCCATGCATTTTTCAGGAAGATTATTTTGAAAGGTCAGGTCCTGGGTATGTGTAGACCACTTTTATTGAAGAAGGAGTAATCAGAATCGTGGGGCTCCTCATTACCATGTCCTACTCTGGATTAGAGATGCACCACTCATTGATAGAGACGATCCCGAGAAGGTGCTAGACTGGATCCAGGATAGAATCACCTGCCACATTCCCGATGAACAGGGTAGCCCTGAGCTGCACAGACTAGTCACCAGGTACCAGATGCACAAGTGCAGCAAGTACTGTAAGAGGTGGAAAAGGTGTGGCAAGACAGCATTCATCACCAGGTGTAGGTTCGGGTTTCCCAGGCCAGTGTGTGAGACTGCTCAGCTCAACCCCGTCCAGGAGAGCCTGAAATCCCGTAACCGAATTTACCAGTTGGTCCGTACTCTGGCTGAAACAAGGGTGAATGACTATAACCCACTGTTATTGATGCTGTGGAAGGCTAATATAGACATTCAGTTTGTAGCCGAAGCCTCTCTATCTCTTGCTCACTATGTCAGTGGCTATGTCACCAAGGCTGAGCGTAGCAACATGCAGGACATCTGGCAGGAAGTTAGTGAGAACAAGAGCATTTACAGTCGCCTTTTCAGCTTTGGTGTTAGAAGTTTACGGTTCAGAGAGTGTGGTCTGTATGAGGCCAGTGATCTACTGCTGGGAGACCACCTCACTGAGAAGTCTGACACAGTCAAGTGGGTAGACATCTCCATGCCACACAAGAGATCCCGTAGACTGAAGAACCACAAAGTCTTACAAGAAATGGCTAGGCTGAACCCAGATAATCAGAACATCTTTGAGGATAATGTCCTAGATACATTCTATCCTCAGAGACCAGCCCTCCTTGAGAGCGTTTGTTTGTATGACTTTGTGGCCAACTATGAGTTTCAGGGTATAGACACCAATGGTCAGAGAGTGTACAGGAAACTTAGCAAGCCTAAACTCCCTAACCACAAAATCTTTGACCCTGAAAATGAGAACCAGAAACAAGATTATTTCTACTCCCTAGTGTTACTGTTCTCTCCATTTAGAGACGAGAGTAGTTTACTGCAGGGTAATGAGACAGCTGAGCAGGCATTTCATAGACTACTCACTAGCCAGAGCTCAAGCTACCACTCGAAGCTGAGGACAGTGTTAGCAGCAGCATCAAATGTAAAGAGCATTAATGAAGCGCGTCAGGCCAACATGGAAGAAAAAGAAGCTAAAGAAGACAATGAGCCTCAGCTGCTAGGTGAAGCTAGAACAGCCATGACTGAAGTTCTAGACATGAAAGCCAGTACCCCTGGTCAGCTGACCCTAGATGAGAGAGTGTCCATGCTGAATCAGGACCAGAAGAGAGTCTTTGAGAACGTCAAGGCTCACTTCCTGCACCAAAAGTGTCACGAGGCAAAACAGTGTTCGTGTGATTTTGCACCTCTTAGATTGTTTGTTAGTGGTGTGGGTGGTACTGGTAAATCGTTTCTCATTGAGGCCATCAAGGCCCTAGTGAACAGTCTGTGGAGTAGTGAAGGCCTCCTCTGTGGTATTGCAGCACCAACTGGGCTTGCTGCATTCAATGTCGGAGGTATCACTATCCACAGACTCTTCCAACTCCCTGTTGAGCATGCTACCAAAGCCACTAGCTATTGGCCACTGCCCAAAACATCCCAGAAGATCATGAGAGCAACTCTCTCTGAAGTCAAGTTGTTTATTATAGATGAGATTTCAATGGTTTCCAGTATCAACCTGGCTTTTGTACACATGAGACTAGAGGAGTTGTTTGGTAGCAGTGAGTGGTTTGGGTCTCGGAACATGCTGTTTGTAGGTGACCTCCTCCAACTCCCACCTGTCCATGGGAATCCTGTTTTTGAGAAGGTTGCCACTAAATCAATCCTGTCCCAACTAGGGTGTGCAGCTGCCATCAATATTTGGAGAGATTGTGTTACCTATGATGAGTTGACTATCAATGAACGTCAGAAAAATGATCCACAGTTTTCCTCCATGTTGGACTGTGTGAGACGTGGTTGTCCAACCAAGGAAACTGTGAGTGTGTTGAAACAGAGGGTCATACAGGTGTCTGTCTCAGACAAGTTTTCTGAGCTAAAACAGTCTGGCAAGGCACCTGTTTATTTCCCAAGAGAGAAAGCTGTGAGACCTAAATGCACAAATGCTCCACAAGAATGCTCCGAAGGGCATGACATTTATTGTACTGATGAGATTGACGAAACAGCAGGCAATAGGAAGATGACCAAGAAGATCATTGAGCATTTGGATAAACTGAACGCTGACTGCAACATGACAGCTGGGTTGGAAGCCAAACTGTGTCTTGCAGTTGGTGCACGAGTCATGCTACGTCGCAACATTGACACCAAGGCTGGGCTGGTCAATGGTGCTATTGGTACAGTGCTGTCAATAGCAGCCCAGCATGTGACTGTGCAGTTTGATAATGTACCTGCTCCATGTAAGATTGATAAGGTCAGAAGCAGGTTCATGGTGATGAAGAATTTCTATGTGTATCGTAGACAATTCCCTCTCATTTTAGCCTATGCAATTACCATCCACAAGTGTCAGGGTCTGTCATTAGACTGTGCCATAGTAGACCTGTCTGAGGAGGTATTCAGTGATGGAATGGCGTATGTGGCTCTATCCAGGGTTAGCTCACTAGATGGTCTGTTCCTAACAGCCTTTGATCCCCAGTCCATCAGTGTTAGTGTTAGTTCCCTGGGGGAAGTAAGAACCGCCTCAGAAAAACCCATAGACCTGATCTTCCTCTGTATGATATACCACACATCTCTAAAAGAAAGAGGAGGAAGCTCACTGGTGTAGACAAAACTGTTTCCCCAAGTGTAAAAAAGGTCAAGGTGAATCCCTCATCTGAAGGGATAAGAGGACTGTGTTATTACAGGTACAGAAAACACCTGCTGCTACTCCTTTCAATTTCCACTTGTAGATGTACAGTGGCAGCAAAGTGCATCCAAGAGCTGGGCACTCCAATATTGTACACAAACACCAGTAAGACCAGGAGGACCCGCTGTCCCCCTCACACGTCCAGACATGCGTAGTGTGGAGACGCGTACAGAGATGGTAACTGACTCTTTCGAGCATTATCTACATTCTGACAGGGTCTGCAGATCAGCATATTGGTATACGCCATGCTATCCTTGTCCACATGGACAAATAATGCCCATTATTTCACTAGGCCACCATCTCGTAGGCTATGACAGTATTCAAAGTTATATAGCTTCCACAGGTATGGACCAAGATGGCACCTGGGGACTGACATTGAGATGCTGTCATTGGCACACCTGCTCCAGGACCCCTGTCTTCTCATACAGCCAGCAGGCATGGGCAGTGGCAGCGTACTCTCCTCATGATGTTGACAGACAACGATGGATGACATTGACCAGAGGTCTATGTATCTATTGCACACAGGAAACACTTCAATGTTGTTGGTTCTATAAGGAAGAGTTTAAGAAGCCACATGTGCTCATATAGACTATACATGGGCTCTATGAGCATGTTGGGAAGGAGGAGGGTGGGTCCTGCAATTTATTGAGGTGGCTTCCCAATTTCATGTTCTAACCACCCTCTAAAGTCTCAGACTTCATGGAGCTGACTGGTTTCAAGTGTAGGGAAACTGCACTGTCTTTACCACAAGTTTTAGGGGACTGTAACTGCATCACAAAGTTGATGGTAGCACACTGTTAGAGGTGAATGTCTGTACACTGACAATGTGTTGTATGCCACAGTAGTCAGTAATCCCTCAGGAGACTGGTCTTAGCTCTGACAGAATATTATCCTCCTCCATTGAGGAGTGCACTCTACAGTCAGTAGCTATGCCTGTCGGTACTACTACATTGAAGCTACACACTACTCACCTAAACATCAGTGCACATAACTACTGTATGCAGTATATCAGCACCCTTCCTACATGCACCTTCACATAGTATTCTGAACAAGGTGGTTACTATTTATAGGCTCCTCTTTTCTTACAACTACATATATATTATCTGGTTTTCCCCTGGGAAGGTTTCTACCTCTGCAGGTCTTTAAAGGCTGTGATCTTCTGTCTAAGGGGCACTGGTGGTCTCAACCATAGCTTACCTGTGTCAGAGGAAGGAGATCACTGTACTCAGCTTATCAGGGCCCTTAGCAGGTGGGCTCTGAAGTGTTTTCCCCATCCCTTATCACTGTGCTGACCTTACACATCCTGTGCCCTTATCACCACTGCTGACATAGCTATTGTAAAACTATAAGTTGGGTTGCATTCCTCACTCTTTTATGGTGCATACCATCTTTATGTTCTAAGGTGCTGTGCACTTTGTCAGACCTGGACCCTACAAACTTCTACTTACACATCCACTACGCTCTTTGGCCTCCACTTTGACTCAGCTGGGTAGACCTCTTCAAAAGAGTGAACTCCTTGCACAACAAATCACATTCATTATAATTATGTTGATTGTCTCACTTGCGCATGCGCCCGCTACGCGCGAGAGGCGCGCGCAAGTGCGTAAAATTGCAACGCCGCCGGTAGGGGAGCCCGCGCGCCGTGCCTGCGTACGTGCGTACGATGTTCGCCGCATAAAGCCCCTCCCCCGCTCTGCAACCCGAAAAGGGTGGGGGCTGAGTATGCGCAAAAAATAACTGGAACAAGTGGAAAATCATTTCTTCAACATGAAGGGGGATGTAGGGATGGTGTAAATTATGAAAAAGGATGCCAACAAGAAGATGCTTCAGCCAACATCGTACATCCATCCCTACATCTTTCTTACAGTCACAACCTCTACTGTGTAATTATGTTGTGAATAATGTAGATATAATGGTAAAGACCCTCATTGAGACGACTTACTCGCAAACAACACAATACATGTAAAGACAAATCCCACTCTGTGTGGGACACAGGAATTTTTAACTCAACATAATTATAGGAGTGGCCCGGGGTAATTACAAGCACTAAAGATGCATAATCTCACTAAGTATTATGCATGAAATTATAGTTTATAGCATACCAGCTATAGGTAGGTAAATAGATGGATAGATAGATAGATAGATACATGGATAGATAGATAGATAGAGAAATAAAGAAATACAACCACCACCAACATATATACACAAACCCGAAAATATCCATACAAAACACACATACACAAATACACATGACATGACATGAAAGCAGGACACTGGGTGCCCAGCCTTGAGAACCGGGGCGGTGGGTTAAAGAGTCTTTTATGGCTAGCCAACTCTCCCCACACACCCAGTGTCCAAACTCATCCACAACCACACAGTGAGATATTTTACGATAGCGTAGTCATGACAATATGATGTAGAGTATGATACATATAAATATTATATATACAAACATAGATGGTAGAAAAATGAAATTGGTAGCATTGTAGAAAAATACAAAAATAGAATCTAGCTTACTTACTGGAGTGGTAAAAACAAGGTAGAATAACTTACTAGTAGCAGTAAAAACATGGTAGAAAAATAAGAATGACTTACTTGTAGCGGTAAAAACGTGGTAGAAAAATAGAATCTGGAGTAAAACGACTTACTACGTGATCCCTTACTTACGCAGTAAAAATGTGGTGCACTATCGTGGTTCCTATTAGTGCCGCCCCACGTAGTGTACATAGTAAATTATGCAGTAGTCAACGTGAAGCTTATGTCTGGCAACTGTGTGTCTACAAAATGTCTAGCTACCAATCCCACAGCATCTTCTACGTGCCCCTTGCCATTGCTACGTACATACTACAAGTAAGACGTTGTCTCTAACTCTATAAGCTTACTGAATCAAATATTTCAAGGCTTGTTTCAGGGAGTCATGTGGAATACTGGTATATAATGTCGAAAAATTGTAACTATCACAATGTTTCGCTGAAGAAAAATAATTAATCTTATTTAATGTACTGAGCACCTGCTATGAGTTTTCTATCACCCAGAAGCAATTCACACCTGTTCTACAGTAAATCCCATTGCAATACTGCCTGAAGTGGTTAATGATAAAGAGGCTTAGTAGTACACCTATAAGACGCAGCTATAAACCTGTTACCGTAAGGCTGCTTATGTAATTTGGGTAACCAGTAAAACGATGGCAAGCATTCAAGCTCAGGCTTCTTTTAATGGTGTGAAAAGACACGATAATAGACTTCTATGAGTGCTAGACAGTGAAATTAAGCACTGTAGTATGTCTCCCGCAGTTTTTCCATGATGAGAGCAATAAGGTCTTTCGTGTTGGTCTCTTCCAGTTCTTGTTCTTGGATATTTGGTCCACTGGTTGGGCCCCTATATTCACAACTATCACCTACACCATTACCATCTGCATCCTTCTGGTCAGGATTTTTTAGTTTTGGACAGTTGTCACAGTCATTACGTATGAAGTCACCGTCCCAGTCCAGACTACGACTCCGGCTTTCCAGAAGACATTCACAGTTGGTGTCTACTGTGTCACGTAAGCACACTTTCCTGCCGTTTCTTCTAGTACACTCATGATAACCCTCAGGACAGCTGGCTGTGTAAAGAAATGTATTATTATGTGTCATTGAAGGTGTAGACCACTTGCTAAGGCTAGGGCTAATTCACTCTAGAAATGAGGGGTAGCCTTCCTTATGAAGCAGGTTAGGGTAGGTGAGCACAGTCTGTGAATAAAATTCTGTATCACTCACACAATAGTTAATGAATGATGCTAATTAGCATAATTATTATTATGCGCCTGAACCACTCTCCTCTTTTATTTGGTTCTCAAGAATTCCACGGAGTAAGGTTCCATTTGATGCTGTGAATGTGGCTACCCTCGGAATGCTAGTAAGGCTTTAATGACTAGTAGTAACTTCCTCTTCTAGGAAGTTAGGGTGTATAATTCCCATGTCCTGTGTTGGGAAATCTCTATACGAACTTTCATTCCTGTAACATTGCCATAAAAGGTATATAGGCCCTACTTTGGATTTCAACAGCAATGCCAAGATTGTTTGATATGCACCCTCATTCCTTCGTCAGAGCAAACATCGCTGTGTGTAGCTGACTACCTATAACAGATTAGGATTAGGGAAGCTCACCACGTTGGCATGAAGAGAGGTCATTGCATTCCAATTGTCGTAACTGTCTTTTGCTAACAAAATCAGGACATTTCTTTCCTCCGTGCTGTGGTTCCTGCGTGATGATTGGTGCACACTGTCGTGTCCCACTACCACAGGATGCCGAGCACTTGCCACACCTTCCATACTCCCATTCACAGTCAACTGCAGAGGGAGAAAGGGCACAAAACTATTATGACCAAAACGATTAATGCCAATATTGCCAAAATGACCAAGAAATATTTATAGCTATTATTATATGAGGTATGAATAGCCATAGCATTCAGTTGAACACTAAAACTATAGAGAATAAATACCTGGTAGTTTACATTGAGGAAGATCATCACACTGGACTTTCTGTGGCACACTGTTGTGGGCAAAGACAGGGCAATCTTGACCTCCAAACCTAGCTCCTTTTGTGACCCTTGGGTAGCAAGTCTTTGTTGCAGTGCCACAGGTTGCCGTACACTCGTCACATTTTTCGTACTCCCACTCACAATGCTCTGCCAAATAAAAAGCACCATACTACATGACAAAAAAAGGGTACTTAATACACAAAAGAAAGAAATGTTGTACACCAATACTCTTATTATTACCAAAGCAGGGTTCATGGTGGCATTCCGTGGTCTCCAGAAGATCTTCGCCTGAGCATTCACCAACGTTGAGAGCATTGTCGGGAATAGTGCAGGTCCTGGTTCTTTCTCTGTGGCCCTTGCCACAAGTTACGCTGCACCATGTCCACTCTGACCACTCTGTTACTTTGGGCTGAGGCGGTTCAGGTTCAATTACCCCCACTGTGGAAAGAAACAGTACATTGCTAGTTCATAAGCAACTCGTCTGTTACTTACAACAAGTGTGACAGCATCTTTCTGGTAGATAGATGGTGTCCTCGGGGCTTGCACAAGGTTCATTAGGGCAGGTAATGTCATGTATTTCCACTTTTTCAGCAGCTGACTAGAGGTAATAATTATGATATGGCGATAATAACTACTAAGTGTGCAACAATATTTTCGCCTTACATTGCAGATATAAACCCTGCAAGGGTTTTTAGGATCAAGGTAGTCATCCAGGAAGTAGTGTCGTTTTTCCTCCATTTCCACGTAGCACTCTCCACCGCGGACTCCAGTCGTGACTCGCTTGCCGGCCTGCATCAATTCCGCCAGCATTTGATTCAAAGACGGTGCTACTTCGAGTCTGTCGCCGTAGCATCCTGCATGTTACGCGCGTTGGATTTGCGACACGAGGATAAGAAGCAACTCACCTTGTACCATAAACAGAATGGCAATAAATAAAACCAGTCCTCTTGTCTGCATCGCTGCACTGTTACTTTAAAATCCTTGACAAAAATGTCTCAAGCTTTAGCGTTTCAAAAACGTGGCAGTTATACGTCCCTAACACTTATTTCCGGTAACATTTCCGCAGTTTCCAGTGATGTGTCGCGGTTTTTCCTTGCCGGACTATCACCTCTAAACTCCCACCTTCTACTATAGTGAGGAACACCTTTAGCCAGGAAAGCAAAGGGAAATTCGTTTCCTAGAGGATGTGAGTGGGTCGCATTGAAGGAACAGGAACGGATGCTACGTATGCGCATTCGATTCATCGTACGGCTTCAGGGTCAACATACGTACCAGGGGCGTCGGAAGGTTCAGGCAAGTGGTATATAGACGGCTCGTCTCTGCTGCTCCAAGTCTTGAGAAGGTTTGTATGCTGCTATTTAGCCGCGGCAGATTTCGTCGTCCGCTCAACTACGCTTGCGCGCGTACAAAGGGGCGGGGTGAAAGCTGCGCGCCGCCTTTACGCGACCCTAGCTAGCTCCATAGAGACCTGGCTGGGTTCCTACAGTAGGCCAAGAAGTAAGTTGGTGGCGAATTCAGGCAAAAGTGGTACGGCTGTCGCCGTACTAGCTTCTGCCATACCAGCTCGATTCTTCATGAAAGTTGTATATTATTATTGCACGCATGAGCGGATTTAATTCCCCATGTGGTGATCTTGCGAAGCGGCAAGGTTTGGCGTTTGTGAGTCGTGTAAATTTTGTGACCGAAAGGTATAGCTACCTGACTGCACCATAAAACATGAAGCCTCTCGCGCGTTGCTGGCTGCGTGCTGCGTTTCCCGTAGGATAGACAAACATAGTCAGGGGCATCCGGTGTAGCGACCGCAAAAGTACAGGTTCTCTCCACTCGTGGATATGGCGCATCAGATTCAACTCCAGGGCGGTTTCCGCAACATCCAGTTAGTCAAGTCGGAGGAGACCTCCCTGGGGATCGGCTCGTACGGAGCCGTGTACAGGGCCAAGTGTGACCAACTCGTCTGCGCCGCCAAAGTCCTCCACCCTATTCTTTTCCAAACCAGGGACCCCGCTGCCTACCGTATCGTGGAGCGCTTTCAGCAAGAGATCGAATGCCTGAGCGGCCTG